TCATCCTCTGCCGTCCTCTTCTCCTTTTGCCTTCAATCTTTCCCAGCATCAGGGTCTTTTCCAAAGAGTCCTCTCTTCGCATTAGGTGACCAAAGTATCTGAGCTTGAGCTTCATTATCGATCCTTCCAATGATCCTTGACGCCTTACTTCTTCTTAAAAGAGACACTTATGAAGCAAGGAGCCTCAGAAGGACTTTTCTTCTCCCGTCTCTCTGTTCCTGCCTGCTTTCCCCCAAATCCAGCTTTCCTTTTCATTATCCTTTCATTCAGATTGGCATTGCGGGGTGAGGGCTGCTAACCGCTCACTGAATTGGGTTTCCACGGGTTACAAAATGTAAACTTTCCAGCACCATTGCTGTTGTGTGCTAAATTGTGTTTGCAGTTTCTCCGTGGCAAGGGGATGGGGAATTGCCACTCTTTGCAGGCCTTTCTTTTTCTGTTCCCTAATTGAGCTACTAAGAATGGGTCTTTTCTGACAATGCTCTGTGCTTGGGTTAGTACACGTTAGCAGAGGACAGTGGAGCACACGACATCAACTAAGAGCAGTAACTACAGCAGGATAATTTAGCTTTGCCTCTCACTTTTCATTCCTTAATGCTTCCTCAGTCACTCCCATGATAGTTGGATGAATGTTATTTGCCATTGAAGGGATAAGTTGAAAAGACTTTCTGTGCTTGGATCATTATATTATCTTCAAATCCAAACAACCAGAATGTGTATCTCCAGTTCATTCACTTTTATGAGGACTGTTTTCACTTCCTCAGGTGCGGCTCATTTCATCCCAGAATCTGTGTGTTCTATTTTTGTGTAACTTGATAATGAAACGAAACACAGCTCCTGAGAGCAATTGCTTGCATTTACAGGTCATACATGTCAGGAAATTCACATTTATAATACTAAATCTCTAACATAATTATTCCTACCCCAGAAGGATAAAATTAAGTTACAGAGTCTATAGAGCAGTGGACCCCAGGTACTGCAGTCAGTAGAGCTGATGGCCAGTCAAACTACCCATCTCTCATAAAAATTAAGTGGGACATTTTTCAAAAACTATAAACAAATCGTTTGCTTAGGTTCATAAAGTATATAAACAGGGTATTGGAATGTTTTTGAAATAGTGAAATAGTGGATGCAGTTAATTGTGATTGGCTAGCTGATGGTACCTAATGACAGTCTCAGTTTCTACATAAGATTTCTAATTTTTAACATTTCCTCAAGCAGGTGATGGGGAGAAGAACAAGAAATACAAAGAACCAAGAGTGCTGCCAGTAGAAATAGCCAAACATAAAGTAGAAGAAGGGATGTTTGAAATGCAGGAGGAACCAAAAAGGCAAGAAAGAACTCATGCAAAGGATAGAGGGGAGAAGTTCTCTCCTTTTCTCTGTGTAGAAATCCATGGCTTCATGACCCAGCAAGATCACAAAGGAAAAAAAAAGGGAAAATATTCAGAGTGTGGCAAAACAGGCAAAAATAAACCTGATTCAAATAAATACGGCAGAACCCGGACTAAACAGAAACAGCAGGAATACAGACAGAATGAGGAGAGTATCAGTCGCTCCTTCCCTCTTCCTTTACATCAAAGACTCCATATGCAACAAAAGCCATACATAGAATCTGGGAAGAATTTCAGTTTGAGCAGCAACCTTAGTTCTTATGGGGGGTTTCACACAGGAGGAAAACCATATTGGTGCCTAGTGTGTGGAAAGAGCTTTAATCAGAACAGTACCCTGACTTCTCATAAAAGGACCCACACAAGAGGGAAACCATATAAATGTTTTGAGTGTGGAAAAAGCTTCAGTAGGAGCAGTCATCTTACTTCCCATCGAAGGGTTCATACTGGAGAAAAACCATATCACTGTGTGGAGTGTGGAAAGAGCTTTAGCATGAGCAGTCATCTTACTTCCCATCAAAGGATCCACACAAGGGAGAAGCCATATAAATGTTTTGAATGTGGAAAGGAGTTCAGTAGCAGCAGTACCCTTGTGAAACATAAGAGGATCCACACAGGAGAGAAACCATATCAGTGTATGGAGTGTGGAAATAGTTTCAGCAGGAAAGGCAATCTTATTTCCCATCAAAGGATCCACACAGGGGAGAAACCATATAAATGCCTGGAATGTGGTAAGAAATTCAGTGACAGCAGTACCCTTGTGAAACATAAAAGAATCCATACGGGAGAGAAACCATTTCAGTGCACAGAATGTGGAAAGAGCTTTCGTGTGAACAGTAGCCTTACTTCCCATCAAAGGATCCACACAGGGGAGAAACCATATAAATGCCTGGAGTGCGGAAAGAGCTTCAGCATGAATAATCACCTTACTTCTCATCAAAGGATCCATACAGGGGAGAAACCATATAAATGTGTGGAGTGTGGAAAGAAGTTTAATGACAGCAGTACCCTGGCAAAACATAAAAGAATCCACACAGGGGAGAAACCGTACCAATGCTTTGAGTGTGGAAGGAACTTTCGTGTGAACTGTAGCCTTATTTCCCATCGAAGGATCCACACAAGGATCTTATAACCTTATAAGCACATGGAGCGTGGAGAGAAATTCTGTGAGAGCACTACTTTTATGAACCATAAAAGAATTCACACAGGAGGGAAACCCTAAATGTGCACACAGAAAGAACTTTAGAATGAACAGTCACTTTGTTTCCCATCAAAGGATCTCCATGGGAGAAACCGTACAAAAGCACGGAACATGGAAAGAGCTGCTTCTGTGTGGCTTCCCACAGGATCCACACAGAAAAGAAGTTGTGTGGACTGTAGACAAAAGTTCCATAAAAGCAATAATCTTGTGAAACTCTCACACAGGAGAGAGACCATATTCACAGTAGAGCATGGAGAGAACTTTATTGATCATAGTGCTCTTCCTGCAGATGGATCCACCGGGGAGATGGATCCCGCAAAATCTCCCATTGGGGGAGATCGGTGGCATACAAATTTAATAATAAATAAATAAATCCACATAGAGAAGAAGCCAAAGAATTGCCAGGTTTCTGGGGGGAAATTTCAACTGTGGCACATCAAGTGATGCGCAGAAGAGAGAAATTATAAAAACCCCAAGAATGTGGGAAGAGTTTCAGAAAGAATATTGTCTTGCTGCCTCTAAGATCTGTTTGTTTATTTATTTGATTTCTATAGCCACCCATCTCAAGTGACTCTGGGTGGCATACAATCATAAAAACATGTAACGTTTAAAACAATTAAAGCAATACAAATAAATCTATATGGTTTCTGAGTAAAACTATTGCCATATTTGTTAATATAGCCAAGAAATGGGTCCCTTAACACACTCAGGGCCCCAGGCCCGAGCACATAACCAGGTCTTCACGGACTTACAAAAGGCCCACAGGGTCAAGGTCATTCCAATCTCTGAAGGGAGAATGTTCCAGAGGACAGGGGCTATGGCAGAGAATGCACGTCTTTTAGTCCCTGCCAGCCAACGGACCTTGGCTGACAGGACCTGTAACATGTCCAACCTGCCAGACCAAATTAGATGGGTAGAAACAACTGGGAGAAGATGGTCCCTTAGGTAATCCAGTCCCAAGCCATGAAGGGCTTTAAAGGTGACAGCCAGCACCGGAAACACAGTGGCAACCAATGCAGCTCGCATAGCAATGGTGTTACATGTGTTGAATATCCAACACCATTTCCTACATTGGAATAAGCAGGACAGCAAGATCCAAAAGGGCAGAGAGGCTTTGTGAAGCCCACAAAACATTCTTGTCCAAGAACGTGGACAAGCAAGAGATCAAAAGAAAGGCCCTGTGTAAACAATCATCATAATTACCTTACAAAATCCTTTGAGAAATTTTTAGAAAGTGGTAAGCAAGGGACTCATATAGAACAAGGGAAGAGAAGACTGTGCAACAGCCAAGAGACAGCATGAACTCTACTGAGGTGAATATGAATGAATGAATGAGTGAGTGAATTAATTAATTGGGAATTTGTAGTTACAATCATTTAGTTGTATACAAAGCCAATTACCGATCTATTATCTGCACGATTTCTACCTACAGTTTATGTCCCTGTCAATAAATTGACATACGTAGATGTACAGTCACAAATTAGTGATCCAAGTATTCCCCTTTGAACTCACTTTTAAGGAAACATTGCTCTATCTAAACATCCATCTTTTCTTCTGAGAGAGACCGAGTCTGAAAGGAAAGTGGACGGCCCACATGCTGCATTTCAGGTAAGCAAAGTTGTAATTTACTAAGTGAGGCTTTATGTCCATGGCCTGCCAGGTAACAAAAGAGATGAACAGAATCGATTTCACAAGCCCTCTTAGAAGGGAGCACTGAGCAATAAATCGTCAACCTCCTAGAAGAGAACAGAATGCTCAGAAAAAGTCAAACCTTGAAGATCCTGATGGACAATTTGAGAAAATACGGGAGGGTCCTCAACAGAACCCGATGGCAAATGGGTCCAAGTGTGTCGATTCCTTCCCAAGTAAAGGCAAACAAACATTGAGAGAGTGGACAGGAAGAGGAAAGTACGCAACACAACAGTCAACTACAGTAAAATAAGTTCCACTGAATGGCAGTGCTCAGTAAGAGAAGTGTCTAACTTCTCAAAATCATTAGGTGAGTATTATTAGTCCAGTGTTTCTCAACCTTGGGAACTTTAAGATGAGTGGACTTCAATTCCCAGAATTCTGGGAATTGAAGTCCACCCATCTTGAAGTTCCCAAGGTTGAGAAACACTGATCTAGGGAAGTGCATGAAGAATTCACATGGAGGGTCAACACCAGGGAGAGCTCCAAGCAGCTGGAGATGAATCCCAAGCCCCAAAACCGGGGTGCTTATTTTATATTATTTATTAAATTTACATTATTAAATTAAATTTATTAAATGTATTAAATGGCTGGCTGGGGAATTCTGGGAGCTGAAGTCCACCCATCTTACAGTTCCCAAGGTGGAGAACCACTGTAATAGTCAGAAGCGGCTTTGAGTAATTCTTTGGATGGGTGAATAGAAACAGGAGGAGGAGGAAGACTTAAAGGAGGGGGATAAACCGGTACAGGAATTTCAGCTCGGACAGAAGGGGGGAATCCAGACATCTTGAGGTGCATTTAGAGAAGTCACGTCAAGACAGCGCCTTCCCTTCTAGGATCCTCAGAAGTAAACCACGGTCACGGAGTTTGACACCAACGACTCCTACCTTTTAATGACCGCCCCGCCGTTTTCCTGGAATTCTTAGCAAAATAGCCCAAAGGACTTCCTGCGGGTCGTTCTGAGTCCGCACGAGAGGCCTTACGCCGGAATCACAGAGATTTGTCGTCTTGCTAGGTAAATCTCATCGCTGTGGCCGCAGACCGAGCCTTTGGAAAAGCTGCTTTTCCAGAGGGGGGGAAACGTTGTTTTCTTGTACAAGCCGTTGGGCTTGGCGTCGCGGTGCCGTTTTTCTATTGGTCGAGATTCCTGCTCAGCCAATCGCGGAGCTCCGTCCGGGAGGAGACGGGAGCGGAGCTACAAGTTGGGTCTGCGAAGGGTTCAGCGCTGGGTCGTGTGAGTCCTGGCAGCTGCGGCGGTGAGTACCTTCGGGAACACCGCGGCCGCTCTCCTTCCTCCCCTCGGGCTCTGAGGGAACGGGAGAAGGGGATCCCCCGCCGCCCTCACCCAGTATCGGGCCAGTCTCGCTTTGCGCCTCTGACTCAGTTCTTCCCTTCCCGGGACACGGGTCTGGTGCGAAGGCGAAGTGCAGACGACCCGCTGGGCGGCCTGGCCAGTTACCCAGACCTCCCGTCTGCATTTGTCCAACCTGCTGAGTCTGCGATTATTGACCGCGGCTGGGGGGTGTTTTCCTTTTTAGGGCTTAGATTGCCGTGAGAATCACCCTGTTTGGACGGTTCATGGCTCGGTGCGTTGTGCCAGTGCAGGACATGGGCTGGTTCGGTACCCAGGTGAAGGTTGTGGTGTGAACACGGGTAAAAGTCCCCGTAGGCAGCAGGAGGGGGCCTCTATCTGTCACACAGAAATTTGCACCGAGTAGTCTTAAAAAGGAATAAATCCAGAGGAAGAGAAATCAACTGACTCCTAATTTTCCCACCTTGGATTCCCCCAGGGTTTTGCCTCTGTCCTCCCTCTGGGTCCTAAACCCCCAACTCCAGTGCCTGGATCTTTTGACAGATGGGGGGTTACCTCCCAGAAGCTCTTTCATCCACATTGCAGATCTTCCTACCCCCCCCCCCCGTGTGCAAATCTCTGGAATTAAATATTTTAAGTTGGGGAGAAAGATAGAGCAATTGATTATTCTTTTTGTATGCTTGGACCTCATTGAAAAAGAAAAAGAAAAGAAAAGAAAGTGCCTTGCTTACATGCTTTAAAAAGTGGCTCTTTTTTAAAAAATGGAAGAGCTGCCCTTGAAAAAAATCTTACCCATTTTGGTCACTCTCCTTTACTCAGCTTGTCCCTCATAATGGCTCTCACAGTCTTTACATTCTAGCTTGTAAATGACTCTTGTCTTCAGTTACTGAGGCTTTGGATTTGCTGGTGGGGAAGCTTTGGAGGGTCTTGGGAACCCGCGCTGCCAAGAGGTTGTAGTAACCGGTTGGTGGTTTCTGACTTGTTTTCGGTGTACAGAAGTGTTCTTTGCTTTATGGCTGTGACGGGTGTGTTATGACTGGTTGCATGGATAGGTCATCTTTAATCAAGTTGGGTGGGTATCCTTTGCATTGCCAAATGTTGAATGGGTGGTCTGTTTCTGCTCCGTGGAGTTCTGGGTTTCTGCAGCACGTTTTTGCTCATCTGAACAGGGTTCAAGGTTCTTACCCAGTTTCTTTTGCGTGGCGTTGGGTTGTTGCTGTGTTAGTTGAGTACTTGATTAGTGTGTGTTGCTGGGTGGTGCATTTTGGTTTGCAGTTTCCATTGTTTTCTTTGCCGCTGAGGATGTTCAGGAAGGGTGGTCTATTCCTGTTCCTTTCTTGTGTTCCTTCCTGCGTGGAACCCTGGAGGGGCTCTGGGAGAAACTCAGCTGTCTCAGCCCCCTGCGTGGAGGAAGCCAGAGGCAATTGTAAGCCGCCCAGAGTCGCTCTCTTGGGGGAGATGGGCGGCATATAAATTTAATAATAAATAAATAAATAAACTCTTCTCCCAGAGCAGAGAGAGGCAGAAGCTTGAGTTGGAAAGGAGCTTAGAGGACATCTAGTCTAACCCCCTCCTGATCCTAAAGAGGACTGGGTATGGAGGTTATGAATGCTGGTTGTCAAGGCTCAAGGAAAGAAGGCTCAGGAAGCCGCCAGGTGGAAGAGCTGGCAAGAACAAGACAGCCTCGGTTCATTATTCAGGCAGTGCTTGAGAGGATCCCCCTTCCTGCCTACCAGATGCAAGAAACCCCCCAGCTTGGTTGCGTGGCTGCTTGTAACTGTGGTCCTTACCTCTGTCCCTCTCACTTCTGCTCAGCGGATTGGGAACTGTACACCCAATCTTTGGACTCTCCGAGCGCCTTCCCTTCTCTTCCCGCCCTTTGGAGTCAACCGTCAGCTAGCTACTCTACAAACAATTTGGCATTTCACTCCCCCTCAGACGCAGCTGCTTTTTCCAGCTTGGTTTTGCTGTTTTTCTGGCACCTGCTGTCTTGCTGCCAAAGTGTGGGTGGCTCTCGGAAGGAGGTGGTGGGTTGTGATGGCAAAGGGCTCCTCCTCGTTGACTTACAAGGGAGGCTGCTCAGCGACTGGAAAGAGCTCCCCTTGCAATGAATCTTGATGCAGCAATGTTTTGCATAGTTTTATTGGGGGAAAAAAATGAAATCTTCCTGTAACCACACAGCCTTATTCAGATCAGATGGAGTCCAAGTTGGCTGTTAGATTATTTCTGGCTGGCTAAGGCTAAAGCCTTCCAGGCCAGTCAGACCATATAGTATACATTGCTGAAGATCTGGACAAGGGATTCAGCTTTAATTGGCCTTTAAACGGTCACGCAGGAGGACCCAGGGTTGAAATCTGCTGTCCGCCCTTCAGTCTGTTAGGCAGCCTTGTAGCAGCTCTTGGCTGGGTTCCTCTTTTGGAATCCTTCAGGTTACAAGGGAAGCGAAGGTCAAGTTTCAAACGTTTGGCTATTTTACACCTCACCCCCTATTCTTGCATTAAAATCTCTACCAAATATATGTATAGCATTTTCTAGTGTAGCCCAGTTGCAAGTTTGAAATTTAGCACTTCTAGGAGGCGTGTCAACATGTACGGTGTATCATTAGGGCAGGCTTATTCGGTCTTGTGAACCTCACTACAGGATCAGCAGGGAGGGATCCTAGTCCAGGTTCATCTGAACTGCCTCCAGATTCTAATTCCTATTTATCAAAGCTTTTCCAGTTGGCTTTGGGTCTAAGATACTGTCTTTGATCCTGCTTTCGGGCCACGGTATTCGAGGGGATTGGATTTCAACAATGCCTGGGGAATTTTTGTTTCCATCTCATTCCTGTAGCAGGTATGGGCTTCACTCTGAGCCTGTTTTGCCTGGAGCAGCCTCAAAGCCCAGAATAGAAGACAAACATTTTACTATGATAAGAGTCTGTATTCATCAGCTCGTAATCTGTTTACCTTCCAGGCATTCCTCTCTGATCCCAGATACTCCATTTAGGTTACTTAACAATCAAACAGAACTACAAAACTCTAGCAGTGTGGGAGTTTCACTGCTCCTGTGAGTGTTTTATTTCTGTCTTGCAGGGTTTTGGCCATTGTATCCATCTACACATCATCTACAGATTTAGTCAGGGTTCCCTTCATTTCTTCATCCAAGTGATCAATAAAAATACTGAAAAGCAGTGGGACCAGGAGCTCTCCTTTGACACCTCCCTCTAGTTTAGTAAGGAACTAGTAATAAACCTTCTGCAAATGCAGTTTGTGAAGCCGTCTATTTAATTGTGAGGCACCCAGCACATTTTTACCTGTCTTACTAACTAGTAGGTCACGGGGTACTATGTCGAATGCTTTACTGAAATGAAGATGTACCTGCTCTGTTCTCACAATCTACTTTCACCAGTTGGCTTTCCTTGGGATGGAAGCTTCTGATTGGCCAGGCCTACAAGTAGAGAGACTTGCAGATGGTTCCTCCATGCAGTTCTTTATTTGGGTGTGTTCAAGCAGAGCCTGCAGGCTCTCTGCCAGGAATGATTTAATTTGGACTTTTCTACTGAATAGGGGCATGGAGTTGATGCCTCAAAGGCTCCTTCTGCCCTATGATTTTAGAGCCCTCTTCCCAAGTACTTAACTGGGTCAGTGGCAGGAGAGGCTAGCATGGAATGGGAGCCTCAGTGGGTTCACCAACCTTGTCAACTAATCCCAAGGTTAGATCCAGACATGCAGACGGTTAACTGTGTTATGTAAAAGCAGCCACAGAATGGGCAGGAGATCCACCTGCTCCTGGACTGCAATTTCACATTAAAATAAGGGAGTGCAAAAGCTTGCCTGCCTGCCTGCCTGCCTGCCTGCCTGCTTCCCTCCCTCCCTCCCTCCCTTCCTTCCTTTTTTCATCCTGCCTTTATTATTTTTATAAACAACTCAAGGCAGTAATCCTACTTCCTCCTATTTTCCCCACAACAAACCCTGTGAGGCGAGTTGGGGTGAGAGAGAGGGACTGGCCCAAAGTCACCCAGCCGGCTTTCATGCCTCAGGCGGGAATAGAACTCACAGTTTCCTGCTTTCTGGCCTGCTGCCTTCACCCCGAGACCATACTGGGCCTCTATCTTATCTTACCTTACCATTAACTCACATACCATGCCTTATCTATCTTATCTTACCAAATAAAAATGGTCTTGTCCTGCCTGGACAAGTAGCTAGTTGAAAAGCAAAGCAGAAGTGGAGAACTTCTTAGGAGAACTAAGTTCTAGGTCAGCTCAGTGTTCCAGGCCAATGAATCAAGAAATAAGGAGTTGAATTTACAGGGCAGGGCTGGAGGAAGAGGAATGCTTGGTACTTCAGCACCATCTGTCTCTGTACTACAGACCCTGATTTGATTCAGCACACGCCCGTGTCTGTTTTCTCATGCTCTTTGGGGAAGAGCATGGAGGACAGTATGTCTTCTCGGCTGCAATGCCACCGTTTTTTTCTCCAGGTTCCCACATGGCAGGATATCACTGCCTCTGCACTGAGGCAGAAATGGGACAACTCCAGAGAAGGTCTGACCAGCCAAGAAGGTCCCAACCAAGTGAGGCTGAAGAAAACTGAATTGATGAAAACTGACCTGTCCTACAAAAGAAGCATTTTCTGCAGAAGAAACTTGTGGAGGATCACAAGAAAGGGGTCAGGAGAAGAATCCGGGTAAGAAGGGACCTTGTTTAACCTTCCTCTGTATAAAATATGAATTGGACTTTTGAATTGTTATAGCAAATCAGTTCTTTTGTTTGTTTGTTTTCCTCTTTGTTTCTGGGCCACCCTCTAGGGCAAATTCTCCTAAAACAGCTTCAAGCAAAAGAATAAAGTGTTAAATATCAATAAAACCCATCGTCAACCACCACAAAGGTTAAAACTCTCAAACTGATCTTGTTACTTGTGTCACCGCCCAGGGTCGCTTGTGTGAGATAGACGGGTATATAAATGTGATAAATAAATAAATATGGCGAGGTCTCAGTGGAATCAGATTCATCCAGTGGAAAAGTGGAGAAAAGAAATGGAGCTTTCGAGCTTTCTTAAAAGTTGGCGATGCTAAGAGCTGAGGAACCCGGTGGCCAAGTATTCCCCAAGTCCGGCCACGATGGAGAAGGCCTCCTCTCTTCTTTTACCCAACGGAACCCCCAAGGAGGGCAGGAGAGAAGGCCCTTTTCTCCTCAAATATGGGAGGTTGCTGTGAGTCACCCCTTTGTCCTTTATCCTTCCTCATCTGGTTCTGTTTTAAAACCCAATGCCCCGCATCTGGAGCAGAGATGGCCATGGCTTGAAACATTTGGGGTTTGAACTGCAGACAGTTTCTATTTCTGTTTGCAACCTATGTTCTGGATTAAAAAAAAGAAAACCCACCTTCTTTAGCTCGCTCTTGTTCAAAATCCTATTTGCATAGCCTGGCAAAGGGACAAAGAACTCGAGCAGCATAAAAGTTGTGCAATAACTGAACATTTATTTGTTTTATTTTTTTGCATACCTGGCTCTAAACATATTCTTTCTGTGGCTTATTTTTATGTATTCAGTGACTGGCCTTTGTTTGGATAAGGAGTGGAAAGACCTTTGACCATTGTTTTCCTTTGCTGCTAACGTTCGTTTGGAAACCAAATAAAAAGTCTGTTCGGTGAGCTATACAGAAATCTATGTTTGTTAGCTAAGCAAAATTAAAAACGAGAAAGGTGACCTGTGCTTACTGATTTTAGGTGAGCTTTGGACTAGGAAGTCTTAAACTATTTTAGGATCTCTAAAGTGGGCACACCACCCACAGCATGTTCTGCAACCACAGTTTCACTTGGTTTCTTGCTGCAGAGAGCCAACCGAATTCTCCCTTTAAGACACTTCTCAATTCCAGCCCCAACTCTCTAAGGCAGTGTTGTCCAAACTTGGCCACTTTAAGATGAGTGGACTTCAACTCCCAGAATCCCCAAGCCAGCCAGGCTGGC